AGATGTCTATAATTTTTGTCTACTACAAATAAAACTGCTATGAATATTCGTGTATATACTTTTTTGTGAATATAAGTTTTCAATTCTCTTAGCTAAATTCCTAAGAGTACAAATGCTGAGTTGTATTGTAATTGCATGTTTAGTTGTTTTTTTTTTTTTTAGGAAGACTTCACAAACCATAAAATTCACCGTTTTAAAGTGTACAGTTCAGTGGTTTGTAGTATATTCACAAGGTTGCATTACCATTAACCAGTAACCAGTTGCTGCCGTTAACTCCAACTCATGGCTGACCCCACGTTAAACCAAAAAATAAAAAAATCAAACCCGTTAGCCCCTGGTCAGTTTAGATTCATAGTTACCCTATAGGACAGGGTAGAACTGCCCCATTAGGTTTCCAGGGCTGTAAATCTTTGTCACATCTTTCTCCCATGGAGTGGCTGGTGGGTTCAAACCACCGACCTTTCAGTTAGCAGCTAAGCATCTTAATCTCTGTGCCACCAAGGCTCCTTGACCCCATGTTAAAAAAAAAGCAAAAAAAAAACCAGTTGCCTTTGAGTCAATTCTGACTCATAGTGAGCCTATAGGACAGAGTAGGACAACCCCATAGGGTTTCCAAGGAGCGGCTGGTGGATTCAAACTGCCCTTTTGGTTAGCAACTGAGCTCTTAATCACTGTGCCACCAGGGCTCCCTGATCCCATGTCACCGTTGTCTAGTTCCAAAACATTTTCATCACCCCAAAAAGAAATCCATTAGCAGTCATTCTCCATTCCTTCCTTCCCTGAGCCCCTGTAACCACTAATCTACTTTCTGCCTCTCTGGATTAGCTTATTCTGGACACTTCATGTAAATGGATTTATACAATATCTTTCCTTTTGTGTCTAGATACTTCAATGTAACATAATGTTTTTAGGGTTTATGTGTGAAGTAGCATGTATCATTACTTTATTCTGAATAATATTCAGTGCGGAATAATCCAGTGCATGGACATACCACATTTTGTTTATTCATTCATCAGTCCATGAACATTTGAAATGTATCCGCTTTTTTGGCTATTGTGAATAATACCGCTATAACATTTGTGTACAAGTTTTTGTGTTAACATATACTTCCAGTTCTCTTGGGTACGTGTCTAAGAAGTAGAATTGCTGGGTCATATGGAGTTCCTGGATGGTGCAAATTGTTAATGCACTTGGCTGCTAACTGAAAGGTTGGAAGTTCAAGTCCACTCAGAAGCACCTCAGAAAAAAGCCCTGGCGATCTACTTAAAAAAAATCAGCCATTGAAAACCCTGTGGAGCAAAGGTTTACTCTGACACACATGGGGTTGCCATGAGTTGGAGTCAACTAGACAGCAACTTTTTTATTATTATTATTTTTTTTTTTTTATGGTACTTCTGTGTTTATTTAACCTTTCAAGGAATTGCCACACAATTTTCCGGAGTGACTGCATCGTTTTATATGTTCCCAGCAGCAGTGTATGAGGGTTCCAATTTTCCACATTCTTGCCAACACTTCATTTTGATTATAGCCGTCCTAGTGGGTGTGAAGTGGTATCTTATTGTGGTTTTGATTTACATTTTCCTAATAACTAATGATGTAAAGCATCTTTTAGTGTGCTTACTGTTACTCTGTCTTCTTTGGAGAAATGTTTAATCAAATCCTTTGTCCATTTTTTAAATTGGATTATTTGTCATTGTATTGTTTAATTTTAAGAATTCTTTATATTCTGGATAATAGATCCTTATCAGGCATATGATTTACAAATATCGTCTCTCTTTGTCTGAGCTGTCTCTTTACTTTCTTGATAGTGACCTTTTAAGCACAAAAGTTTTTAATTTGATGAAGCCTGAATTGGACTCTTTCTTCTGTTGCTTATGCTTTTGGTGTCATATTTAAGAAATGATTCTCTAATCCAATGTCAAAAAGATTTACCTTTGCTGTCTTCTGTGAGTTTTATTGTTCTGGCTCTTACGTTTAGGTCTGTCATCCATTTTGAGCTAACTTTTGCATGTGGTGTGAGTTAAGGATCTAATTTCAGTTTTTGCATGTGAATATCTAGTAGTCTCAGCACCATTTGTTGAAAAAGACTATTTTTCCTTTGAACTGATTCTGTACTTTTGTCAAAGATCGGTCAATCGTAGACACACAGGTTTATTTTTGGTCTCTCAGTTTTATTCCAGTGCTCTGTATGTCTATTCTTATGCCATTACCATACATAATCTTGATTACTGTAGCTTTGTGGTAAGCTTTGAAATTGGTAAGTGTGAATCCTCCAACTTCGTTCTTCTTTTTTCAACATTCCAGGTGAATTTTAGGATCAGCTTATCAGTTTATTTAAAAAAGGCAGCTGGAATTTTGATAGGGATGTTGTTAAATCTGTACATCAATTTGTGGAATATTGTCATCTTAGCAATTATTAGCTCTTTCAATCCATGAACATGGGATTTTTTCCATTTACTTAGGTCTCCTTTAATTTCTTTCAATAATATTTTGAAGTTTTCACTGCACAAATTTTGCGCTTGTTTTGTTAAATTTATACGTAAGTATTTTATTCTTTTTGATGCTGTTGTAAATGGAATTGTTTTCTTAATTTCATTGTTGGATTGTTCATTACTAATGTATAGAAATACATCTACTTTTTCTATTGATATGGTATCCTACAACCTTGCTGAACTTGTTTATGAGCTGCGATAGTTCCCTACCCCTCTACCCCTGGATTTCACTGTTGAGTGACATCTTGGTTATCTTTATCTTTTAGCAATTACAAATGAAGCTACAATACACATTTGCAAACAGGTTTGTGTGTGTGTGTGTGTGTGTGTGTGTGTGTGTGTGTGTGTGTGGACCTAACTTTTCAAATCACTTGGATAAATATTTAGAAGAGTGATTGCTGGGTTGCATGATAAGTCTATATTTAACTTTATAAGAAAACTGCCAAACTATCTTCCCAAGTGACTGTACCATGTTGCATTCCCACCAGCAATGAATGAGAGTTCCTGCACTGTTTGAGGAAAAGAGTATGATGAAAACTAGTATCACTGGAATACACTTCAACTATTCTGAAATACAAAAATTAAGTAAAGGGAAGTGACTTAAAATTTAAAGTCCTAGGCCTATGATTACAAATGGCTCACGCTCATAATGATAATAAATATAAAAACAATAGCAGTATTTATTGAAGTCTTGCTATGTGCCAAACACTGTTTTAGGTGCTTTGCAGTTATTATTTCATTTAATCCTTACAATACAACATCCCTGTGTTGTAGGAACTGTTATTACCTGCATTTATAGGTTAAGAAACTGAGAGATTATTTTCCTGTTGTCACATGGCTATTGACATGCAGGCAGTCTGGCTCCAAAGGCTGTTCTCTGATCCACTAAACCTGTCATGAGTCTCAGTTGGTTGAACATTAGAATCACTTTAGGAGTTAAAAAAAAGACCAGGTGCTGAAATACCCTCCTTCCTGAGAAAAGGTGGATTACTTGGTATGGGATGTTCTTGGACACCAATACTTTGAAGGCTACTGGGTGACTCTAATGTGAAGTCAGGATTGGGAACACCCCATAGTACTTTATACTGTATCTTCATTATTATATAGATAATTTAATGTGTTAAATTTTTTATTTCAGTCATAATAGTAGGTACTTTAGTTCATATTTTGATCCGGAGATTTTTAGGTCCTTTTTTGTATAACCTATGAAAAAAAACTTGATTTGGAGAATAGACAAATATTTTGTTGAAAAAAATTATTTTCAACCAGCCGTGTCTTTATTTTGGTATCTAAGCACTCTGGCTTTTGTGTAACAAATATGTGTGTGTGTTGTAAAGAATTTTTAGAGTCATCTAATAAAGTAGTTAGGTATTCCTTCCCAAGATTAATGTTTGAAGAGTATTAGTTTTAAAATATGGAATCATTTCATGTAAACAAAGCAAGGAATAAAATATACATAGAAGAGTGTACTTGGTTAAAATTTTGTTAGATCCAGCAGGTTAAATACCTGCTACAAAATTGACTTAATTCAGCATTGAGTAATCCTTGTAAAATTATTAATTTTCTTTTTGAATCTATGTTTGATGACATAGCATTTGATAGTAGACTTGAAAAACATAGAATTTCAAAATCATATTTAAAAATACTTTGTGAACATTCATTTACGAAGTCCGATAAATAAAACTATAGATTTCAAAATAAAGTTTACCAAAGTCTAGTCCTCTTGTTTTAAAATTAAAGATTTAAATTTATTTTCTTAAATTATTACTAAATGATCTCCAACAATCACTTTATTGATTCACTCTGAATAGTCGGTTACTGACAATTGCATCAAGTCCCCACCAGGATGTGCTAAAGACACTTCACTACGAAAGGTGTTTACTTACGCTTTCCTGAACTTACCAGCCCCTGTAAACTTTTCTTTTTTTAAAGAGCTGAATTTCTTGTTTACCAAATTTCTTTTGCTGTGAAATAAATTCTGTACCTTGGCAGTTGAGTATTTCTGTAGATCCTGTAAATGATGAGTATTTAATCTCCTATTGGTTCTCATAAGCATGCTGGCTGGAGATACCTTTGATCTGATTATTCTGCCAAATTATCCTTTAGAAATTAAAGATTGTGTTTCCCTTTACAGAATAGTTTATTTCCCTTTACACAGTAGGTGTATTTCTGAAAACTTGAATAATTTAAAATGAACAAGAAAAACTAGTAATTTGTTTTATGAGGTAAAAAAAATTACCTCAATTTATCTGTTGGGCATGTTTTTATTTTAAAATAGCCAATACTTCAGTAGGTAGATTTAATAATTGCAATTTTAGCATAAAATATTATTTTCAAAGTATTATAAGTTAATTGTGATAACTGTGTATTCTGTATGGGTGCTTTAGAGCGGGGAGTAAAAGTTTTGATTCCTTTATATTTGATGAACTTCTAAGTGAGCCTTTACAAACTAGTTATCTAGCAAAAGTCCTGAAGGCTAATAGCTGTTTTTCTTTTCTTTTTCCTCAGGTATCTTCATTCAAATAACATAGTTGTGGTTCCAGAAGGTAAGTGACTTTCCAGTTTTTAGATAGGAGGCACCAAAGTTTCACTTTTGCTTTATAAGTGGAACAAATTCTCTTTCAAGCTGTTTTGGTTTTTGTAGTAGGGAATTTTAATTATAAAGCAACTTTAACTTATATTAGCTTCGAAGGTGTTTTTTTCTTAATTTAATAAGTCCAGTTAAGGATTATGATTAAGTAAATAAGTAAAATGGTTATATTGGTTAGGAGGTAAATTATTATTAGATAAATTGTTGTTAGGTAAATAATAAGATGGAGCATTCTAAATTATAAAATCGGTTTAAATTGTAGTTAGGAAAAAATGACCTTTTGTATTGTTTCATGAATTATTCAAGTAATTTTTTGTACTATTTAATGTTTTCATTTGTGTTCTTTTTAAAAATTTATTATATTTCGTCTCGAGATAGAAGTATTGTCACTTCAATAAAATTTAGTTCAATTTGTGTTTTTACTATCTTGTAAACGGAGTTAAGGATATTAAATATTAAAATATTTTAGCTTGGAATAGTTACATTAAGTATTTGAAATAACATTTGGGTAAAATTCATGTTGTTTCTGCTGTTTTTTTTTTTTTTTTTTTTTTGAAGCCATTGGGTCCCTTGTAAAACTCCAGTGTCTGGATCTTAGTGACAATGCCTTAGAAATTGTTTGCCCAGAAATTGGTCGTCTGAGAGCTTTACGTCATCTTCGATTAGCTAATAACCAACTACAATTCCTACCTCCAGGTAATCATAGTCTATAGCACACAAGTGGTCTCTTGTTTATTACAAATCTATTTTTATTCATGTTTGTCACTGGGTGTCCAGGCAGTGGGCTGTGTATATGTTTGTAAGTGTTTGATTGTTCATTTGTTTGAAGATGAAATAAGGAATTTGGGTAAAATGGGACCAAGAGTCATTTCTCAGCTGCAAACATAAGAAAGTGGCATTTATATTTTGAAGCTGCAGTTACTACTATTGTGCATTGGAGTCAGTGTCTGCTTAGAATCACTGCCCTGGCAAAAGATTTGGACAAAAAGCCAGTTCAGTTTTGTATATCACAATAAGAGAATTTAAGTGAGCTCTGCAGAAGGCAATTATTTTAGTATCCAAAAAGCAGATATATACAGTGTTTTCTCTCATACTCTAGTAGGGTCATTGGTGTACATTAACTTTGATTTAATAAAAAGTCATGTTAGAATTTAATAGCAGAATTTAAATTTGAGTCCTAGAATTGATCGTCAGTTCTGCCCACTGAACATCCAGTTAGACTGTGATGTACATGTAGACAGTACTGAGAGTCCCTAGGGGTGGCAAGGCTGGAGGTTCAAGTCCACCCAGAGGCACCTCAGAAGAAAGGCCCTGGCAATCTACTTCTGAAAACCTTATGGAGCATAGTTCTGTCTGACATACATGAGTCACCATGAGTCAGAATTGACTTGAGAGCAACTGTGTTTTTGTTTTTGTTTTTGTTTTTTTAATAGATAGTACTAAAATCCTGCATTCTCTTGAGCCACACCTTAAACCTTTTGACTTTGTTGTGAGGGGCATCCAGAGTCCTTACTTTGTGAATCCACACGTTAGCAGATTCTTCTGTCATGCATCATTTCCCACTAAAAAAAAAACCATGAAATATGATTAAAAAATTAAAGAAAAACAACAACCTGAGCTTCAGGTATTACATGAAAGTTACTATGTATTCAAGGCTGAGTAGAGAAAGATACAGATGCAGGGCAGTTGGCTGGGATCATTTCTACTTAGTAACTCTTTTGTGAACACCAACCAGTCTTTTAGTGTCTCCAGGTGAGGTTTGTGACTCAAGATTACAAATTGTGACAAGTCATGGAACTTTAGTCATATGAGAATATTGAAAACTATTCATGTTAAATCCATGAATGAAAAAAATTATATTTCTTTGTGATTTTAAAAAATATTTTCTCTAAGGGTTTTTTCAAGTTCAGAAGTTTCTAAATGTTTTAATAGAAACATAGTAACTGATTAACTTTTAGACTTTATGTACCTGCATTTATATATAGGTCCAATGTTGCTTATAAAAATGATACCCTTACAGCAGTGACTCTGCTTAAAAAATAATTTTTAACCTGGTATAATGAGTATGTTATTTTTTTTCCAGCTATAGTTGATATAAACATCTTTAAGACAATGTAGGAATATGATCTTACGTTTAAAGTTTATTGTATATAATCTGCCTCAACCAGTGTTTCATCATTCTAATTTTCATCAGATTTATATATTCAGATACTCAGGAAGTTAGATTATCTTTTATAGATTGCCTCGGAAAGGTACCAGTAAAAATAATACTTTAAGTTTTCAAAATATTTTTATCTATGAAACTTATACAAGGTATGTTGTGGAATCAGCATGCATGGGTATAGTACTGTATTTGGAAATCCTCTTTATATACTTTTAAAGAATGTATAAGAAACTCCCTGTTAATAATTCCCTGTTAAACTGTTTTTCTGCATATTCTATTATTCCGTCTTTTCCGGTAATATAAGAACATTTTGTGGTCTTAGAATGTAGTCATTTCCTTCCATTATATAGTCTCAGAGGTTAAGGATGTACCTCTAATACCATTGCCTGCCTCCTGAAAACCAGTAAAGGTTGTATGTGTCCTGACTACTTTTGTAATTATTTATTTGTATCTCACCTTGTTGCACAAAGAGATTTGAGACGTTTACTTCTGATTTTGTTTTCCTAGCTTTATTTCTGTTGTCTGCATTTGGGTTTGCTTGTTTTGAGTGAAATTATATATAGTAATAGCTATGTAGTTTGAATAAGAACTACTGATGGAGCCACATGTAGGTTTTTTTCTCTCTGGGCTACCATGAGTAGTGGTGGACTAGGCCTTACTAATTATTTGATTTTCTTTATGTGGTAATTTTAAATGTTATAATTTGAATGGTTAAGGAGCTAGGTACATTTTCTCACCACCCTGCCCTCCAAATGTTTGACCATGTTTGATGACATACTGTGGAAAAGTGTTTTCATTGTAGTTTAAAAAAAGGAGATGTAAGGGACTACCTTGTTGTCCCCATTTGATGACAGCAGACACCGATTGCCATCTGACTGATCGCCCCCTTCTGTACAGTCTGTTCTATTATGCACAGACTTCTTACATGACATAGAACATTTCCATCACTCCACGGAGTTCTCTCTTGCCTCTTTCAGTCAGTCTACTTGCCCTAGGCAGACACTTTTGATTTCTATCACCATAAATTAATTTGATCTGTTGTTGAACTATAAATAGAACCAGATAGTATGTACTCTCTGTGTCTGGCTTCTTTCACACAAAATAATGTTTTTGAGATACATCCATGCTGTTGCATGTGTCAGTAATTTGTTTTTTAATTACAGAGTAGTATTTCATTGTATTACTTCATAATATGTGTATTTATTGTCCTCTTGATGGGCATGTGGGTTGTTTCTAGCTTTGGGCTATTATGAATAAAGCTAATATAAACATTCTCATATAAGGGGACATATGTTTTCATTTCTCTTGGGCAAATACTCAGGACCACTTCTGAGTGCTGGTTCCTAGGGTAGGTGTATGTTTAACTTTATTAGAAATTGCTTAACAGTTTTTCAAAATGGTTGTACCATTTTACACTTCTCTTAGCAATATATGAGAGTTTTAGTTACTCCACATCCTTGTCAACATTTGGTATATATATATTTTTTAAGCCATCCTAATATGTGTGAAATGGCATTGTGTTGTTTTAATTTAATTTGCATTTTCTTCTTGACTGATGGTGTTGAGCATCTTCTCAGGTACTTATAAGCTATTCCAAATCTTTTTTATCTGCGGGAGCTACCTTCCTGCTTTATAGCCCTGCTGCCCCAGCAGGAGTCTGTGGAGGGGTGACTGTGGCTTCCCTGTATTCTGTGAAGGTGAGTATTGCCTCCAAGAGGTTTCTCTTGACTTTCCTATTCTACCCTTCCTAAGCCCCCTCACCACCCTCACCACCCATCTCCCCCAGACTTCCTTAGCTGAAAGCCTAAGACCGGGGAGATTATTTCAGTTTTCCTGCCTGTATCGGGGTTCCTCTGGCTTCTAACCTGGCTTGCCAGTGCACACATAGCTCTTAACAGTTAACCTGGTTTCTCTTTAACCCTTGTCTGTGACAGATTCGTTATTCTCCCTCTGTTTTGGTTAAGGATGTTAGCAGCTGGAGAGAGCTTCTCTTTTAAAATGGGCCTGTCACTTTTTGGAGTTCATTTAGTTTTCTTTGTGTCCTCAGCCTCTGATGGGTTTTAAAAACTATGATTATGTAGCTTATCCAGCTTGTTTTAGTTGTTAAGGTGAGAGTGATGTCGCTTGTGACTTTCTATTTTTGAACTGTAATTAAATCCTCCCTTCCCCGCCATCCCCCCCCCAGCCAGGAAAGGAGATTCCTCTGTACCTCCCTTCAGTCTTCTTTTAGGTTACTTTAGTATATTTTAGTGTTCCATTTTATTTCCGCTTATGACTTTTCTCTAGGATTTAAAATATGAACCCTCAACTTATTGCAGTCTACTTAGGATATTGTACCACTTAGTGTAAAATGTGAAAGCCTTTACAATAGTATACTTCCATTTACCCTCCTTCCTTTGTGCTCTTCCACCATATATTTTATTTCTATGTACACTGTGAACTCCACAGTATAGTGTTATTATTTTTGCAAAAGTCATTTGTCCTTAAAAGAAATTAAGACAATAAGAAGAAGATCGTCTTTTATGTATTTATATTTACTATTTCCTTCGCTCTTCTTACATTTTTTGTCTGTTATCATTTCTCTTCAGTCCCTGGGTGACACAAATGATTAAATGCTTGACTACTAGCCAAAAGGTTGGCGGTTCCTTCAGAAGACAGGCCTAGTAATCTTCTTCCGAAAGGTCACAGCCTTGAGAACCCCATGGAGCAGTTGTACTCTGCACACATGGGTTTACCATGAGTCAGAATTGACTCTATGGCAACTAACAATGACAATCATTTCTCTTGAGTCTGAAGAACTGCCTTTAGTTTTTACTGTAGTACAGTTCTTTAGCAATGAACTGTCTCAGTTTTGTTTATGTGAAACTATTTCACTTTCAGCTTTGAAGAATATTTTCTCTGGATATAGAATTCTGAATTGACTTTTTTTTTTTTACTTTTGGCACCTGAAAGATGTCTTTCTGTTGTCTTCTGGCCTCATATTGTTTCTGATGAGAAGTCAGTTGTAATTTGTATCATTGTTACTCTGTACATGTGTATTTTTTATATGCCTTTAATTCTGTGCATTAAAATTTTTCTCTTTTATCTCTGACAATTTGTCCATGTTGTGCCACAATGTAGGATTTTTTTTATATTTATCTTTGGGATTTTCTAGATTCCCAAATTGGGAAGTTTTCTGTCGTTAGTTCTTCAAATATTTTTCGGCCTGCATTTTGTCTTTCTGCAACTTCACTTACACACAAGTTAGATCACTTGATATTGTTCCATGGGTTACTGAGGCTCTGTTTGCTTTGTTTTTTTAATCTTTTTTTCTCCGGATCTTCACATTGGATGATATGTATTGATCCGTCTCCTAGTTCATTAACTTCTTTTGTGCTCTCCAATAATGCTGTTTATTAACCCTCCTCCACCTTCCAGAGATCATGTTTCCTGCCCATTGCTTGAAAACAATTGCTTCATAGATTTCTGTCTGGCTTTTTTGTCATATTTTGGTAGGAGGTAAGTCTGCTCTCAGTTACCCTGTCATGTCTGC